ACTTCAACCGACACTTTAAAATTCACCAAGACACGAAATTACGATTTATATGCTACATCTGCAACAACTCTTTTAGCCGACGTGAACACCTCCAGAAACACAGCAATACGATACACAAACAACCACTAAAACGATACCTCACCAAATTAGAGAAAAAACACGACAACATTGAAATAAAACCTATCAAACCTTGGAAAAAACCTTTTGAATCAACCACCATACCAAAATTCCGTATAAACCCGGCGTTAAACCATGGCTACAGAATACACAAACATCAACAACGGACGAAATTTTAAAAGAAATGATAATAGATCCGGAATTATCCCCACTTCAACTGTCACCCTTTAGAAGTAACAATCAGTCGCCGTGCAGCAGCCACACAAGTACATCAACCAATTGCCAGGATGAAAAAGAAACACTGAATGACGTTAACATAAACATTTATTCCATTTACGGTATTTTTTCTTAAAAGTATACAGCTAAATATAGATTATGGGGTAAACCCAAAATGACATAATTTAAACTATTTTTAGAACAAATCACGTGACGTAAAGTATACCCGATTTTTGTACGTTAGACAATGATTTTTATATTATTCTGATATTTTATAACCCTGATGAAGACTCGTGAGAGTCGAAACGTCGGTTATCATCATTAAATAAACCTTAAACTTATCCTGTGTTGATTGTTTGTTCCACTTTTATTGTTTTTCTTGTAATGTACATTTGAAGTCAAAAAGTGCTACCAATATTTTTGTGCTGAATAAATGTTGCATATTGTTTTAAAAAAGGTTTCGACAGATTCCTACTCATGCACTTCTGCACATATTTAATGTATAACTTCCACCATTCATATACAGAAACATAGACACCAAAGAAAAAAACAAGAGGGCCATGATGGCCCTGAAGTCGCTCACCTGTATATAGGCCCCCGGAGCGGAGTCAGTTTAAACCCCAGGGCTTTTATTTGAACAAACTTGGAAGACACCCATTAGAACACAATGTTAAGTTTTTACTACACACATGTAATGAGAAACAATGATCTCACCCGCCCCCCGTTCCCCTTCCCTCACCCCCCCTCCCCCCCCCCCCCCGGCAGGGCCAATTTTCACCCAAGGGCTTTTATTTGAACAAACTTTGTAGACATCCATAAGAAGATATTTCATGCTAAACATCTAAGCTCTAGCTCATTGGGTTTTTTAAAAGAAGATTTTTAAGTTTTTACTACACACATATAGTTAAAAACAATGACACCCCTGGGACGGGGCCAGTTTTGACCCCAGGGCTTTTATTTCAACAAACTTTGTAGACGTTACTAGAAGATGTTTCATGCTTAATATCTAAACTCTAGCTATTTAGGTTTTTTCAAAGAAGATTTTTTAAGTTTTTACTATATGCATATAGGGAAAATCAAGACCCCCCCGGGGCGGGGCCAATTTTGTCCCAAGGGCTTTTATTTGAACAAACTTTGTAGACACTCACTAGAAGATGTTTCATGCTGAATATCTTAGCTCTAGCTCTTTGGGTTCTTTAAAAGAAGAATTTTTAAGTTTTTACTATATGCATATAGGGAAAATCAATGACCCCCTGGGGCGGGGCCAATTTTGACCCCAGGGATTTTATTTGAACAAACTTTGTAGAAACTCACTAGAAGATGTTTCATGCCAAATATCTAAGCTCTAAGTCTTAGGGTTTTTTAAAAGAAGATATTTAAAGTTTTTTCTTTCGGTTGCCATGGCAACCAAAGTTCTGCATGGAATTAAATTCTTTGAACAATTTTTAAAGGTGACCACCAAAGGAACATTCCTGTGAAGTTTGGATGAAATTGGCTTAGTGGTTTATGAGGAGATGTCATTTAAAGTAAAAGTTTACGGACGGATGACGGCCAGACACCGGACGGACGAAAAGGGATCATAAAAGCTCATCCTGTCACTTTGTGACAAGTGAGCTAACAAGAGCTGTCAGAAGGACAGCGCGCTCGACTTTTTTAGTGCTTGCCTATAAAACAAAACTTTGACAGTTAAGGGCACACAAGACTTTAACTAGGAATTTCTAAGTACAAATCAAGAAACATTTTCACAGAGTTATCTTCTCTTGCTTACAGATAGGTCTCATGATGGCACATACGTAAGAACTCCAACTTCCAAAGTAATATCTCAAATGGTTAAGTCAACAAGTGGACAAGAATGAAAATCTTAACTGAGTTTCTAAGTCAAAAAGGGCCATAATTCAAATAAAATCCTTAACAGAATTACCTTCTCCTGCCCATGTTTTGGGACCATGATGGTAAACAAGTATTCCAACTTTCAAATTAATATCTCAAACAGTTCAGTCAAAAAGTGGACTGGTACTAAAAACTTAACCAAGATTCTAAGTCGATAAAAGGCCTTAATTTTTAAAACAAATCCTTGACAGAGTTACCTTCTCTTGCGTACAGATGGGGGTAATGATGTGAAATAGCATTAAAAGTTTCAAAGCAATATCTCAAAGGGTTAAGGCAATAAGTGGATTTTACCCATATTCAATGTATTTTCTAAGTCAAAAAGGGGCATAATTCTGTCAAAAACCTTGACAGAGTTATGTCCTCTTGTCTGTTGATGAAGGTCGTGATGCGTAAACAAGTATGGTCAGTTTCAAAGCAATACCTCCAATGGTTTTGAAATAAAGTGAGGTGGTACAAAAAACTTAACCAAGCTCAATACACTTTCTAAGTCAAAAAAGGGCCATAATTCTGTCAAAAAACCTTGACAGAGTTATGTACTCTTGTCTGTAGATGGAGGTTATGATGGTGAACAAGTATGGTAAGTTTCAAAGCCATACTTGTAATACTTCTGAAATAAAGTGGGGTGGTACGAAAAACTTAACCAAGGTGTGACGCCAACGCCGAACGCCGACGCCGACGCCGGGGCGAGTAGGATAGCTCCCCTTTTCATAGAAAAGTCGAGCTAAAAAGTGATGAGTTCCCCAAAGGAGAGACAATTTTAACCAAAAGGTGACAAGTGGTTTGTTTAGGACAATTTTGCAAACAGTAGGAATGAGTTGTCAAAGGTGATGAGTTGAACACAGGATGAGTTGACCGTATATCACCTCATGTAAACCATTGTTTAGGCATACTTCTCTACACTTTGACGCCCTTTTACTTCAAGCACAAATTATTACCACGATTCAGATTAAGATAATTATTTTTTACATGGTTTAAATTAATGGTTGCATTGCAAAAAAATGTTTCTTGATTGCTTAATAACTTTTAAAGAAATTAATGTTTGAAATTAGATTTTATTTCTGTGAATTATTTCCAATAATTTGTTCATTTTTTATTTGATTACCTGAATATTGGTATAAATAAAGTAAATATTCTACTAATTAGTGTATAAAATATATTTTCAGATCATTCAATACAAACGTTCTATAATATAGATGAATTCATTAGATTGGCAAGGAAGAAACTTTCATTGGCATACAGAACAGCTGTTTTATACAGAACAGCTGTTTCTATTGTATTTTATTTGAAACAGATTTTTTTCATAGTTACCCTTCACAATTCACATCAAATGATTTATTTGTCATATGTTTATTTTCATTATTTTTCAAAGAAAGGACTATACAGATTTAGTTGTATATTTTCAATTTCATTTATAAATGTTAATAAAGAAAATAGATTTACATTGTAGTTATATATATATATCCTCTTCAGAATCATTTTCTTATCACACATACCATGGACTGTAGTGAAAGACCGCGCACATACAAAATATACATTCAAATTCTATTTGTTTTTGAAGATTGAGTGTTGCAATTATCACATGTAACCTGGTAATGAAAGTTTGAAAATAAAGTTTTTCAAAAATCACTTGTTACCTGGTATTTAACCCCTTCAAAAGTTATTAAACTTCAAAGAAATTTAAGCAATGTGTAAAAAATGATCAACAGTTACTTTTATTTCGTATAATACTGACTCAAACTGTAAATATTTTTATTGTTTTCTAGCTTTACTTTAAAAAAATAAGAAATATCTTTCTACAGGCATTCAAATAAAAAGAATAATTAAAATATACGAGTGACATTAAAAAGGCCGAAATCGAGACAGCCACACGGGAGTACTTTACTGTTACGATGATTTGAAAACAGATTTACAAAAAAATAATAATGATATAAATGATGAAGGAAATTTAAATATTCTATGAAAATGGCAAAATTGACAACATCAGCAATATTTTGTACTGAAAAAAAATGAATAGATTTACTTCATGTGTTGAGAGAACTGTTAAGCCCACAATACATTTACCCGTAAAACAATTGTGCGTCAATAAATTTGACTACATAACCCAATAAATCTAAATTATTACATCTTTGATCATCTGTGAATAACTTAAATCAGCTTCTTTTTTATTTTAAAATTGAATTAATTATGTTACCGTAATAATAAATTTCAAATATTTGCTTTTTATATAAAAAAGGTAAATTTACCGCGGATTTTGTCAAGTTAATTTTATAATTGTCGTTGCGGACAGACAGTCTGTATCTTTAAAAAATAAATTAGATATTTGAATTAAACAAGTATTTATCTTCAAAATTGTACAGTAGGTATTCGTTGCGAACGGGCATTTACGCTTAGTACAGTAAATTATCGATCAATGTACCTTTATCGGGTGCGCGACAAGATATTTAAGCATTTATATATGGTTAACTGGGAGTGTCCGATCCCTGTAATATAAATCTGTGATTAGGTGTAGATCTATTATAATTTATCAGGATTCACTGATATATCAATAACATTGCACTATCTCTTGTGATTTATTAAATGGCATCAACTTATATTGTTATGCAAATGAATATTGTTGTTCTTTAGCAAATGCAATTAAATAGGCTGATTTTATTAGTGCATAAAAAAAAATGGGCGTGTCTATTTAAAATCAACCCGAAGTTTATATCCGAATACTACTGCACTGTAAAAGTGCCTCGATTAATACCATTCAAAATCAAAGGCTGAAAATAGTTTACTTCGTCTTTGGACATTCCAGACTGCTTCTTTCTGTTCCATTCACCATAATGAAGACATGTCCCGTTCCTATCAAAAATGTAGAAGTTGTAAATTGTCATTATTTTTTTGTAACCGGTGCGTCATTTATTTCGTCCTGTGAGAATTGATATGTAGAAGGTTGTGATACACTAAAAGTTAATTCACAGGGCTCTAACGTAAAGGTGAATCAAAATCATAGACGCTAGGGGGTCAGATCCTGCCCCCAACGTGATATGCCCCTGTAAACACTCTATCAAAAATATTTTAATATTTAAACACGAATGGGACATCTGTTACAACGATAAAGTTGTTTTTTAAGACAATTTTTACATACATGAAAAAATACCTTATACTATCAAGTCTCACTGGACGTACGTCAGGGCGGACCATGCGACAGGACGGACCGTACCAAGGAGGACCGTATGTTTGGACGGGGCGGACCATATTTTGGGACAGGGGGGACCGTGACTCGAGACGAGGCGGACCACAGGTGCTAGTGGCATTGATTTGACCTAAAATGTGTTTGACCTTGTTATTTATACAATAAAATATCAATATATTAAAAAAAAAATTATTTTTTTTCCACTGTTATATTATTATAGTCTATAATAATATAACAGTGAAAAAAAAATTTTCTTTTAATTTTTTTTTTAATATATTGATATTTTATTGTATAAATAACAGGGTCAAACACATTTTAGGTCAAATCAATGCCACTAGCACCTGTGAGGAGGACCATGTATATTTTCAAATTGATATTACTATTTAATTTTCTATATATATTTCGGCATCATTATCATCCTAAATATGTTATGTATATATAAGCATTTTCATATTGAACAGATTTGTATTTAAAAATCTAAACATCGATCTAATACTGGTTAGATCTACATATGTATGTATTAATCATGTGCACACGACATAAGACGGATTGTGTATTAATCTAACTTTATATTTAATATTATAGATATTGACCCATGTAATTATAAGTATAAAATAGGTTGTGTTAAGCTAATGGGAATGGTTTGAGAAAAAATCTCATATTTAAAACATGTTTCCTTTTGCTAAACTTGAAACAATTACCTTAATTGTAATATTTTTTATATATACCATTCATAACATTTTAGCTGTTTAGAGGAATAATAAAGATTATTTATATTACTTAATTACAATATGAAAACGAAGAAATAATTGATAATTACAATGTATATTAATTCACTAAACAGTAATCATCTTAATCATCACAAAAACCAATTCTAATATAAACTAACTTGTCAAAGAATCAAATTAAGGAGAATTCAACACAATTGTTAAGTCAACCAGGCGCATGCAGTTAAATTTCATGAAATTATGGCTATAATATTCCAACAAGACATAAAATATTTGACAGCTGTGCAAGTCGTTATGAGTGTAATTACGGGTGTAAATATGAATATATGAATGACTGAATATATATTCAGTGAAAATATCTATATATATGCGGCTGCTTTTGTATATATGTTCTTCGTTACATGTTCGTGTATATGTAAAGAAATAAGTGAGATGCCATTCTTAAATTTTGGGGCATCTCCTTAATTTTATACTACAAGGATTGACAGCCATTATGCTCACATACAAACTGCTGCTTCACAAACAGCTGCCTGTCTCATATCCTTGCATTAAAGCAAAACAACTTTCTATATTTCTGTCAAATTCATTACATTTTTAATATATTTTGTTGTTTCAAGAGCATTCGTTGTTTAAACTCATCTTTATATATTAAACACTTCTTCTTGTTGAAGTGTAGTGGTTATAACAAGTTTGCGCTGGCATTTTCTTTTTTACTTTCATATAATTATGCAATAACCTGCTGAAATTCTCTAATGCACTTTTCCAGAATCCAGTTATGAAACTGTCCACCAATTTTGGGGATATTCAGGTTAAAGTTTAGGTCAGCCTGTTAACAGTACACAGTCTGGTCAGAAAGCACTGTAATTATGACTGGACTGTCATGCCGAATTAAGCAATGGAATTATGTGTTTAAGTGATAGCATAGCTATCTTGTAATGTAGCAATTTATTCTTCAATGGTTTGTTAAGAAATACTAACCTTAGCATTTTTTAAAGTTTTTCTTTCAGTTGCCATGGCAACTAGATTTCTGCACAGAATTAACTTTTTTAACAACTTTAAAAGAAGATCACCTAAAAGGATTATTCCAAGGAAGTTTTGAAATTATTGCCATTAGGTGGTTTAGGAGATGTTGTTCAAAGAGGAGTTTGAACGGACAGATGCCAGCTGACAATGAGTTACGACAACAACTCACCATTGACAACAGCTAAAACAAATTACCTTTTTTACCTTTTTAAGAATTACAATAGTAAATGTTTCAAAAAATTTAATGCACATCATTAATTAAATTAAATTTTTTTATTAAATGTATTTAATACATGTCTTTCATCTACAATAACAGTAAATAACACTGTAACAATTAATATTATACTTTACATAAATTTGTTCATTCTTCACTTATATAACTGTAATAGAGCCTTTAAAGGAACTCCACTGAGGTTAATAAGCCTAAAACATAAAATTTTAATTTTATTTTTACAATTTTTAGCAAGATTTACAGGCAATATATCAAGATATTTTTCAAAACTATGTTCAGTCTTATAAGTTCTATACACTAAACATTTTGCAGGACTAAACACTGTGTATTATTCAGTACCAATTCAGTACAAACTGGTCATATAGTCTGTTTGAAATGATCAAGATTGTCTACTTTTTGGGTAATAAAGTATTCAGACATACCTAGTTCATCTAAACAGCTTTTAACAAATGCTATCCAAGGAGAATAAACTTATTAATATGTAATTTATAAGCAGTATTGTAAAGAATATTACATATCTTATTGTTATTACATATATTATCTTTAGATTTTATCAACTTACTCCAATAACATAACAATCTAGCTCTAGCATGTACAAGAACATACATGTGAACTTTTTTTGATGATCAAATGTGATTTTTCTTCAAAAGAGGGAGATTTTAGAATTTGCAAATAACAAAGAAAGTTCTGATATAAAAAATGGGGAGATTTCTTTAATTTGTGAAAATACCCCTTATTTTAAGAAAAATCGTTGAAAATATGGCTGCAGAAAGTGGGAGTCTCCCGCTAAAAGTGGGAGAGTTCACATGTATGCAAGAATTGGTTTCACTCCAAGTTCACCAAAAACTATACAATTAAGTGTAGATGGTTTTAATTTCAATATAAATTTACAAAACTTAAGCTGAAAGAACTGAATTATATTAATATTTTCAAAAGCCAGTACGTCAGAACCTTACAACAAAATAGGAGTAATAAAAGAATCAAAGAGTTGTACTTGAAGAGAAATTGGTAAGTTTAACTTCTAAATAACACTATTAAAAATTATATCAATTTATCACCCTGTGTCAGAAAAAAAGAATACCATAATCTAGGTCATGTATTGTTTTCCATTTTTCAACAAATGTAAATTTCAATTTCAATTTTTTTGTTCCACTCAGATCATGTAAACATGACAACATGAGGTAATAATACAATTATATAATAAATGAGGCTTCAGAATCAGACAGTATCAATATAACACAATATATAAATTGTTAACATAAGTATTGCGGTAGAGTCAGTATTAATAAATACTTCAATAGAGTTCTCCACAACAATAAATTTATACAATTCTTGGCTTATTTGAATATTAATATAATTTCTTTAATAAATAAACAAAGTTTTTTGTAATCTGGAAGGTTAACATCAGTGTTTATTTGTATATCAATAGAATGTATTATGTCTCTTTAAATGTTTGTTTGTTTGTTTCATTTTATGCCTTTTCCCAACAGTATTTCAGTCATATAGGCAGGTAGTTTCCTAACCATCGTTCCTGGAGAGTTACACCAGTACTAGACTACCTTCCTCCGTGCTAAACTACCAAAGCATCTCCCGGGGATTAAACCCAAGCCAGAGAGGTAACTGGATTAGAAGTCATCGACTCTAACCCCTCAACCACGAAGGCAGTTAAATATATATGTTTCAAAAAACGTTTCCTGACATTATCAAAACACACTCAAAAATATAATAGAATTCATCACCAATGGATCTATCACACAATGTACAGACACACCTGTATAATTTTGATGGAGTTTTAACTAGATATGTTTCAAAACAAAAATTGTATGTTTAAATAATCTATAATTAGTGCATTTACTAAGAATTTTTCAATACCAGAATACCCACTTAATATTTAAAAAAAAAATCTATAATTTTTGTTTGACTGACCGTTAACTTATTCATGGTAATTCCAAAATATTGTCCATATTCATACCAAAATATTCTGAAAAAAATTTCATGGCACTGAAAATCTTAATGAGGTTGTAATGTTATTTACAAAATACGATTATATCAAAACATGGAAACTGTTGTTGTTGTGGTATGGACTAAGTCGATCAATATGATATAACGATTTAATGTCAAAATAGATAGTGGTTAACACCAGTTTCACCATACACATACAATTTTGGTGTACTCGACTTTAAAACCTAGAAATATTTTAAAAATCAAAGCTGTACTCTTAATACAATCAATATTACAAAAAACTACATATGTCACCATCCATACAGTAGGACAAGTTTTACAATTTGGTGAAATAAATCATTTGCATTCAATTGGGATTTAACCCCTTTTTAATTTTTTTTTAAAGGGTATACATAGCTTTGGATCCCCGTTTAACAAAAAAATGATTTTCCTTTTAAAAAAGATCAAAAATTTTTCCGAAAAAACACTTCCTTTCGTCTTTCAATTTTTAAAAGTCATTTTCCCTAAATAAAATTTTTAGTATGCGATTTTCCCCTTTTAAAAACCATTTAATTTTGTGTTTTTAAAGAAAAACTGTCATCAAAAAGGGGCATTCCCTCAAAAACAAAATAATAGTCCCCGTTCAATAATTTTTAATCCACTAAAGGGGTGAAAATAAGCTTTCCGTAAGAAAATAAAAATATAAAATTTTTTATCAAAAATTTCACAATTGGGAAGTAAAAAATTTGTTCAAGCAATTTCAAAACTAATACATTTAAAAAAGAAAAAGCAAAGATAACACTGTAACACAAGGCTCTGTCAGGCTTCTGCAAAACTATGAGTTATCTGAGAGTGTCCAAGATATTCTGTGACAAAAGCCAGTGATTGAATCATTTTCAATTTTGATTTTTTTTTCCATATTAAATTTAGACATAATTTTTCAAATATATCAGCGTACAGATTACAACTTGTATATAGTGCATGAATAATGTCATAACAAGCATACAACTCGTTTATAAAGATGTCAGAGTGATATTTGAAAACATCTCACTTATTTGAGTGGACAGTTTTTAGCACCAGTGAAAACACTAAAAAAATGAGTCTTATTTGCAAAAAAAAAACTATATATAAACTTGGCAGTACTGTATATCTCTACATATCTAACAATGAATATATTTAAATCACTTGCAAATGTTATAAAATGTAATATTAAAAATATACACACCTTTCATTTTTTGTCTGCTCATTCAACAGTCAAATCCACACTAGATCTGAATATGGGACTTCCTGGAAGAAAAATAATGAATAAACATTATCAGAACATAAATCTGAGCCCACAATTTCATACAAATTTATTTCCGTCTCCATTTTCCCATTTGATTTAAATAATTATTTAAAATTTCATCAACAAAAATAGAAAGAAAAAAAACAGAAGAAAATCAGAAATTAAAGTAGATAGCTGTTTAAAACTTGATTTCCACGTTTCTCAGTTCACAAATAAAAAAGCAACCCGGGAAATTTAAGCATAATTTTCAAGTTTTAAAAAAAGAAAGCCAAAAACCTGTCAAAAACCATGTTAGAGTTACGCGGTCGGGGAGTGTGACCTCCCATTACACCAAAAAGAAATATTTTAAGTTTCACTCCTTCTGCCATAAGTTTTGAATAAACCAAAACCAACTCAAAAAACTCTACCGAAAATGGACACCATGCCTGTTCAGACAAACCCTTCCTTTTCTTCCAATAGTTCAAGCTGAAAATTTGAAAGACACAAATTGAGCAAAAGGGGTGCTATTTTTAAAAAATGCAAAACAAATTTTCAAGGAAACAAATTTTTAAATGAAAGAAAAAAAAAATTATTTAATTTTAAATTTTTGGGGATCAAAAACAAAACCAAACAGGTTTTTATTACTTGCTTTAAAAGCCAAAGGCTTGAATTTCTTTTTTAAGAAAATTCCCAAAAATTTTAACAAAAAAAATCAAAATGACTTTAATTTTTTCCCAAAAAATTTTAAAAAAACAAAATGGGAAATTAAAACTTTTCTGTTAAAATTCTTAGTTAAAAAGGGGGGAAAACCCAAACCCAAATTTCTTTTAAATTTTTGGGGTTTGTCTTGTCAAAATAAACAAGTATAAAATTCATTTAAAAACTTTAAAAAAATTTTAAAAACCGTTCACGACAAAAAAAAAACAAAGGTTTTCGAAACCAGCATGGATTTCCCAGACCAGCAGCCTGCACTGTCTGATCAGGATCCATGCTGTTTGCTATCAGATTCTTTACTTGTTATAGGGTCTGTAAGCGAACAGCATGGATCCTGATCAGACTGCGCAGGCTGGTCTAGATCCATGCTGGTCGCCAACACATTATGTTGGTTTGTCGTGACACGGCTCAAATTGTTTAAATAATGGGTTACATTTAAATTTTGCACAAAGCTAACGCCACATTGGTCATTATAGCTAAACTTTTTCTTCAAAACAGACAAGCTAATAAAAACAGTTTAAATATAAATTATTTAAATATGAATAATTCAATATATACCTTTTTGTTGGTGAAAGGCACCTCTATTAATCATACTACAGCAAGATCTGTACTTTCTGTGCAAGAGGTATCTGTGATAAGAAAGAAGAAACTTGAAAAATAAAATTTTTAAAATAAGTAAATTATCAGTCACCATTACAGGTTTGTATATAAATCTGAGCAGAAATGCTTTTACATTTATGTTACAGGATTATAGTTAGGAACATGGCGTAAAAAAAAAATTGCTAAAACAAATTTGCATCGAGGTTAATAATCCCAAATGTTTTTTTAACATTTTTATTTACAAAATCACTACGGAACCCTTATAACAAAAATGTCAATTGCATGCATGTGTATAAACTGGGCGAATTTATCATAGTACAAAAAACAACAAAAAACATCTTTACAAATATACTGAACGCTTTATTAAGGTGCTAATTATCAAAGTAGGAGTTAATGTAATAGTCTTTCCTCACAAACCCAAGATCAGGTTCATCCCGACTGGTGTCAAAACCAGTTCATATAAACACCCCAAACACTGGGACCAGTTTCAAAGCCAGACTGGGAAAGTTGTGTTCAATTTCAAATTTCTCATTAATCAATGTTTTTAAAATAAATATGATAAGGCCCCTTTAACAAGATCCTGTAGGGTTGTGATGAACAAATTACTGTGCTAACCACCACTTCAAAACAATTTTAAAAGTAGCATAATTATCAAATTAAAAACAATTTTTAACAACAAGAAATATGTAAAAGGACGCCCAAATATTGCAAAATTTAATTTTAATAAATTTTCATGTGGGAAAATTTTACTTAAAATTTTTTTAAAATAAATTCTTATTACCATCCCTTATTTTCATGAAATGTTAATTGGGGAAAATCTATTTTAATAAGGCTTAGAACTAACAATATTGACGAATCTTTAATTTAGCAAACAAAATTTACCGAAATAAAAGCATAAAAAAATTGTTACAAGGGCTTAAAATAATAACGTATTTAATTTTAACGACATGCCCCCAACAACCATATTTTCCGATATCTAACATTTTCAAACATATTAAACAAATTTTTTGCCAAACTTTGGGGAAAAAGATATTTATATTTCCTAAAATTTTTGCAAAATCAACATTTCTGACTAATTGGTGAGGTTAAATGATTACTAATTTCTACTTTAAGTTCTGTTAGATTTATATTATACTTAGAAAATTTACAGATAGACTAATAGAGCCTTACAATTTATGATAAACCTTTCTGGTGGTTTTAAACTTAAAAGAAATGCCTGTATGTCCATTAATTATTTTGTCTTTTAACATATTTATAGGTATAATTTAGTGAATGACTTGTAATATGTAACACAAAACACAATTTATGCCGCAACAATTTTAAGTCCTAATAAAACAAAAAATAAATAACATTTACCTTCCCTGGATCAGAATACAAAGAAATAAAGATTTATAACGGTTCAAGTCTTTAATGTAGGTTGCATTGTCGTCACCGTCTGAGGCAGGGTGGTAACTCTCTTAAGGCCTTGAAACACATAAAACAAAATACAATTAGAATACTAAACTATTAGATTATACATTTATATAGCTCATCTACTTGTAAACAAATTACTGTAAAACTGTAAAATGCACTTAAACATTATTCTATCAATTTTCATTTTTGGTAATGTTTTGTTCTTTTTGTTTGTTTGATTTGGTTTTACGTCACATCGACACAGTATAGGTCATATCGCGCATTCCAGCTTTACTGGTGGAGGAAGACCTAAGTGTCCCTCTTTGCATTATTTCAGGCACGAACGGGCACCTGAGAGGAACCACCGACGTTCCGTAAGTTAGCTGGATAGCTTCCTCACATGAAAGAATCCAAGTCCCTGTCGGGATTCGAACCCACAGCGGTGAGGGGCAAGTGGTTTGAAGTCAACGACCTTAACCACTCGGCCACGGACGCCCCATGTTTTGTTCTCAAAACAGAGTTTTACATAAGACAACAAGCTTCAATGTTATAATTAGGCTCTGATTTCATTTTATCTTTAATCATTTAACCAGATTTAAAGTCAAACAACACTGTTAAAGAAGAAAATGGAAACATTTAAGAATGCTAAAAATGGCACAAATGAAAATGCTGCAGCCTCAGTTTGATTGAGGCTAAACAACTGGGTGGCAGTCGTAATTGACAATCAGTTGCCAAAAGCCGGCTAAAGGGCTCAAAGTAACTAATAAAAACAGATACTTTTAGAATCTCATAATTAAATAAAATTCAACAGGTGAAAAATAACCTGTATGAAAAAAATTCTTGTCTCTTTGATATCAACTGTTACTGTGAAATCACTTAATTTCTTGCATAAAATTTCACGGTTTTGTCACATAGAACATTTTTGTGGTTATATAAATGCGTGGACAGTATTTTTCAAAAAAGGTAATATGTAAATGTAATGCAAAATAATCTTACAGCATACAAAATGAAAATTTTGTTGGACCTTAAATTCATACCTTATAATCCACGAAAACAACGAAAATTTAAGTGCCCAACGAATAATAATGATTTTGCAATACGTACTGATTAAGCTGCTTCCAAATGCTGTTTAATGGTCAACACTCACGGTTTTCAAACTGTGTACGCCAGTGATGTATTCAATCTGAAACAAAAATTCAAAGCACCAAAAAACAAATCTAGGTAAAAATATTGACATGTTATATTATATTTCTGAACAAATATCTGCTCAAACAAAAGCTGTATTCCAGTAAACGGTCAATGCAGGTTGTTCTTCTCAGGCCACTTCCATACTATGATCCACTGATTTCCATCTCTCTTAACTCAGGAACAACTGTCATACTACAATGCTGCTGGACTCAGAATTGAAGACAATCACTCCCACACGATTCCTCCTTGCGGATATAAAGTTGCCAGACTCCTCGGATTACATCGATAGTAGTCTTGATAAACAGACCAGGGATATATCAGGGCATGATACCTAAAGAAAAACGCCTGCTAGCTGCAAGTTTTGCCTAGCTTCCAGCTATTCTACCAAAGAAACAAAGGGAAATAAATCTGGAAAAAACTTCTGGATGGCAGACACTCGGTTGATCTAATGAAAAAAAAAAGAATCCCCTTTCCATCTTTCTTGACTCTGAAAAAACCATAATCTATCAACACTCCCGGCGCAGTGTCTCAAGAGAAATCCTTCCAAAACGAATTCCCATTTTGCGGATATATCAGCACCGGAATCCTTCAATGGGGTCGCCAGTGAGCCTCGATCAACAGTTGTGGGATGCATCCTAAAAATTAATTTACCAATTTGAAACATTTTAAGAAAAAAATTTAATTTAACAAATAAGTAAAGATATTTTAAATTACTGTAGAGAAACAAGACAAAACCAAGAAAATAAATAATACCTGTTGTTTTTCCATTTCCTCCATAAATACCATTTAGACACATTATACTTCCCTAACAGATCTTCAACATCTCCCAAATTGGAAAAGATTCCAATTTTCTAGACTTTCAGTTTGCAAATTACCATTTGACCAATAATATAACCATGTGTTATGACTTCTGAATGTTAAAGATTCTGGACATAATTTTACTTACTGCCTATGCTTAAGTACTTAAGCAAAATGTGTTGACCGATGATAAATTCTAAAGCGGACACAGCAATAATACCGAGGATAAGCTCCGGAGCAGACAGAGAAATCGCTAAAACAAAATGTGTTTACCGAGGATACATTCAGTAGCGGATGCACAAATTACTTAAAATGTGTTTTCGAGAATAAGTCCCGTAGCGGATGCAGAAATACTTAACGAAATGTGTTTACCGATAATAAGCTCCATAGCAGATTTGAAATTACTTAAATAAAATGTGTTTGACCGAGGATAAGTTCCGAATCAGACAGAAATCGCTTAAACAAAATGTGTTTACCGAGGATATGTTCAGTAGTGGATGCAGAAATTACTTAAACAAAATGTGTTAATTTAGAATAAGTTCCGTAGCGGACGCAGAAATTACTTAAAATGTGTTTTCCGAGAATAAGTTCCGTAGCGGATGCAGAAATTACTTAAAATGTGTTTTCCGAGAATAAGTTCCATAGCGGATGCAGAATTACTTAAACAAAATGTGTTTACCGAGGATAAGTTCCGGAGCAGACAAAGAAATCTTTTAAACAAAATGTATTAATTGAGAATAAGTTCCTTAGTGGACGCAGAAATTACTTAAAATGAGTTTCCGAGAATAAGTTCCGTAGCGGATGCAGAATTACTTAAACAAAATGTGTTTACCGAGGATAAGTTCCGGAGCAGACAAAGAAATCTTTTAAACAAAATGTGTTTACCGAGGATACGTTCAGTAGCGGATGCAGAAATTACTTAAACAAAATGTGTTAATTGAGAATAAGTTCCGTAGCGGACGCAGAAATTACTTAAAATGAGTTTTCCGAGAATAAGTTCCGTAGCGGATGCAGAAATTACTTAAACAAAATGTGTTTTCCGAGAATAAGTTCCGTAGCGGATGCAGAATTACTTAAACAAAATGTGTTTACCGAGGATAAGTTCCGGAGCAGACAAAGAAATCTTTTAAACAAAATGTGTTTACTGAGGATACGTTCAGTAGCGGATGCAGAAATTACTTAAAATGAGTTTCCGAGAATAAGTTCCGTAGCGGATGCAGAATTACTTAAACAAAATGTGTTTACCGAGGATACGTTCAGTAGCGGATGCAGAAATTACTTAAATAAAAATGTGTTAATTGAGAATAAGTTCCGTAGGGGATGCAGAATTACTTAAGACAAAAAATGCCAGTAAGAAGCAATTCTCCTTAGGCTTCCCCCGCTAGCAGAAATTACTTCGGGAAACTTAATTATGTGTTCTTTCATATTCCAAGATACAGCATCGTGTAAGCACGAAGATGCACACAGACAAACAACTCTGAACCAAAACTGTGTTTAGTTGAGAATGAAAGTTAGTAGCGGTAAGGCAACATATAGTGCTTATAAAAGTAGTTTTCCCCCCTGAGACTATAAGTTCCAGTATGCGGACTGCGATGAATTAATCTAAACAAAATGTGTATTCGACCGCAGGATAAGTTTTCCAAAAGGCGACTATATCATGTGAGAGAAAATATCCCATTTTCAAGGTTTATTTCTCGATCGGCTATAAAATCTGGGAATTCTTTACCGAGATTCTGGATTTAAACACGCTTCAAGTAGTCGGCATTAATGCTAGAAATTACTTAATAACAAGTCATTGATAAGTATTGCGGGCATACAGTTACGCTGCATCCTACCCGCGTCCCTCAAAAAGTTCTTCTAATTGTCATACAATCTGTGTAGTTGCCATTTATAATGAATTTGATGGATGAAGTCTTGTTTGAAAATATCAACCACAAAACATAATAAAATAAGTTTGTCTATATCACAGTAATGTGTTAAGTTTCCATGCTTAGTAAGGAAATTATGTTTATACAACCTTGTCATATTATTACGATGTGAGTTTTAAAGTAAATCCTATAAGGAATGAAGAAGTTGGAGTGAAAATACCAGTTTCTCGAAAAAATCTAAGTTAAAGGGGGACATAATTCTGGAAATAGTCTTGCTAGAGTATTTAACCTTCTCAAAAATGTCGAGTGATAATAAGAAACATATATATGAAGTTTGAAGTAGATACATTAGGAAATAAAGAAGTTATTTAAAAAAGACAACATTTTTTCCCCTAAAAATCTAAGTTCAAGGGAGGTAATACTGATATTTTTTGTGCTAGAGTTATAAACCTTGTCACATATGATGTGGTTGATGACCAGAAACTTATATTTAAAGTTTTGAAGTAAACACCTTAAGAAATAAAGAACATATAGTGAAAAAGCTGAAAAATTTTAAATCAGAAATCTTGAAATTCAGGCTATTTGTTGCCATAGCAACCAGAATTTTTCAACATAGGAAGAAAAGAAAAAGATGTGCATAATCTCCAGACTGCCATCTACCCATATTTCAAGTTTCATAAAAATATTTTCAGTACTTTTTGAGTTATCACTGGATCCAGTTTTATGTGTTAAATTTGCCATATTTTCAGACTATTTGTTGCCATAGCAACCAGAATTTTCAACATAGGAAGAAAAAAAAAAAAGACGTGCATAATCTCCATACTGCCATCTATCCATATATCAAGTTTCATAAAAATATTTTCAGTACTTTTTGCGTTTATCGCGGGATCCAGTTTTTGTGGACGGACGGACTGACGGACTGACAGACTGACAGACAGACAGACAGACGGACAGACAGACGGACAGACAGACAGACGGACAGACGGACGGAGGGTAAACCTAAAGTCCCCTCCGGTTAAACCGGTAGGGGACTAAAAATGTGTTAATTGAGAATAAGTTCCGTAGCGGACGCAGAAAGTACTTAAAATGTGTGTTCCGAGAATTAGTCCCGTAGCGGACGCAGAAATTACTTAAACAAAATGTGTTTACTGAGAAGAGTTCTATAGCGGACGCTGAAATTACTTAAGAATAAGTCCCGTAGCGGATGCAGAAATTACTTAAACAAAATGTGTTTAGTGAGAAGAAGTTCTATAGCGGACGCAGAAATTACTTAAAATGTGTTTTCCGAGAATAAGTCCCGTAGCAGACGCAGAAATTACTTAAACAAAATGTGTTTATTGAGAAGAAGTTCTGTAGCGGACGCTGAAATTACTTAAAATGTGTTTTCCGAG